TAGGGACGCGCTATCGATTGACAGAGAAAGCATCAGAGGTTCGTTCGGCAGCCGGTCCGATATTTGTTTGTTCTAAGTGCTGCGGCTTGTTTTCCTACCGTTGCGTCGGAAACTATCATCTCAAGAGGGCCTTCCTCAAACATTCACCTTCTGAAAAGTTTGTGCCTTCACAAGGCAAAGTGGCCGGTGAGCAATGACAAAGGAACTACGTATACATCGCCGAAGCACCTCCGGTCTCAAGTTTTTTTTTTTTAAATGTCTTGTAAAAGTACCGCGACCGAAACACAGCCTTCGGAATAATGCACCTTCGGAGTGATGCGAAATTCGCAACAAAGCACGAACCACGCATGTTGAGACGGATTTCGCCTGCCGAAGCAGTCTATGTCAAAAGCTTACAACCCCCCAAACTGTGCTTCATACGTCCGTGTTATGGGGCCGGGGGTATCGAACTCGCGATCACAGGTTACGTGGACACAAAATTTGGCAAGTATCGACATGAAAAACTCTCCTTCTATCGAGGCCACCTCCTCCAAGTCGAACTACCCCTTCTACGAGGATCGTTGGGTTTCAACAGCTGCCTCGCTAGAAAATGCGACACGAAAAAAAAAAAAAGAGAGCACAATGTGGTCCCCTCTCTCCGTTCCCGTAACCCCCCAACCCCCGTCACAATAACGTATACGTACGCGTGTTGATACACGCCGAGAAATCGTGTAAACCGCGCAAGAATGCCAAGTACTACGCGAGAGCCACCTCATCCTGGGTTCGAGAAACAGCCCGGTCCCCATACTCCCCACCCAAAACCGCGAACTTCTTATCCCCGTCCCTGAAAACCATCACCAAACACCGTAACTCAAGCAACACTACGCTACCGCCGAAACCGCAAGCAGGCGCCACATGTTTGAGAAAGGACAGAGCAAAAAACGACTTAGCGTCATAGATAGTCTTTTGGATAAAGTTGGCAATCCGGGTGGCGGGAATCGTCTGTACTCCTGCTTCCTTCAAGGTAGCCGCGAAATTTTTATCCTTGGCCAAGTCCACCAGCTCCGTCAAGGTGGGCAGCGCGTCGGTCACGAGACTCTTCGCCGCGTCTGGGATATTGGGCAGACA